GCATTTCATTTTCTTGGAATTGAATTTTGTTCTCAGCGGTAATTGGATTTAAGTGTCAGAAACAAATAAATAAATAAATAAATAAATAAATATCACCGCGGGGAGGGGGGCGATGATAACTTCCTCAATGGCTCAAGGGGGCGTTTCTTTCAAAAAGGTTAAGAACCACTGCTATAGAGTACACGTTCCTGAGTGTTGTCAGTTACCAGAATCATCTTACTCATTTGACTCCAACAAACAGGTTTTTATGTAAAGAGATATGCTGGCCTAAAGATATTACTGTGGCTAACAATGCAAATAAAAAGATTGGTTTCCTAATGCTGTCAGTTTTGGATTACAAGAGGAATAAGTACAAGGTATCCTTGGATTTGTGCTTCATAACACCTCAACTCTAAAATGCTTAACAGCCAAAGTTAGAAAATCACCTCACAACACTCCAAATTCCAATTGAACCAAACATCATGATCAAGAACCAACAATACAGTATTTCATTATCCTTCTGTGAGGAGAAAAAAATGGAAAAAATAGGGAAAAAATTAAGAAACTCCATTCTAAAGAACCAGCAAGAGAGACTGAAATTAAACATCTTACCACATACACAGTACGACTGTCCACATCTTTTGGTTGCTCACCCAGTGGCTGCCGTCTTCGTATTCTAGTTCCTTCTAAATCCAACTGTATAATAAAAAATTAATTAGGTAAAAGTCTTGCACAGCATTTTTTCTCATTCAGCCTTTTTAAAAAAAACACAGTAGTTTTTTAACTCACCTCCACAACAGATGAACTTTTAACGGCTCGGGCTATCAATTTTCTGTCAGTGGTCAATTTTTTCATTTTGTTGAAAGAAACTAGAAGTGATATGTCAACATCTAAAAACAAGAATGTTGAAATTAAGGCAAGATAATGTAAAAAGAAAAAAATGACAAGGCTGGAGATTAGGAATTCCTTGTAAGGAAAGGAGCCACTTCTCCTTAGCTGAATACAGAAGAAGACGGACAACTACGACTTGGTAATTAGATCTTTGACAGGAGACCATGAGGACCTTTGATCTCTGAAGGAGACACATTCAAAACAGAGCTAGCTGATCTGGCATATGCACTGGGCCCTGTCATATTACCCTGTCTCACTCTTTTAATGATATTCATAAGTATGGAAGACGGGCATACAATACACACAAAATTTATTAAATACGTTTTCCTTTTTGAAAGATGTTCTGTGTTATCCTTTATTTTGCTATTATTTCTGCCACAAGGGAGCCCCCATGAGAAGTTCTCACTTGTATTTCGTGTGAAATGTGTACTACCTGCATTCTAGTCATCTATCACATTAACAGTCCATTATATCTCACTTTCCCCACACCGAGAACAGGACATCAAGAGGAGCAACAGACTTGGAAACTCCAGGAGCACTGAAAAATTCAATGGATTCTCTAAGTGCCTCATGGTGCACTGTATTAACAGGACCAATATCATTTTTAGATCTTAAGAGCATTTCCAAATCTCTTAAAATTAACACTATTCACCAGAAAGTTATAACAGTGGTTGAAAGCAGACATAAGCAGTTTTCTCCAGAACTGGAGAACCTCCCTTAACAATAACCTGGTACACAGAACAGACCACTCTGCAAGTAGCAAATTATCAGCCTCTGATGGGGTCATAAAATTCTTACCCTATAACCATAAGCATTGTAGCACTGCATTCTTTACTACAGTGGATAAAATTCTATTGTTTAGCACAGTAATACACAACTAAATACAGCTATTGAATCAATGGAACTTACAGAGTTGACTCATAAAATCTCAATTGATGCAACTGGTATACTCTAGTTGCAATTTACTATGCTACACAACAGGACTTCAGCTAAAGTATCTTAATGATCATTTCAGAAAAATAAAAATAATAAAAATCTGAGTAGTCACCAAAATATTAACCTTAAAGTAGAAAGAAGGCAGAAACTATTCAGTTTTCTGAGATACAACTGTATAAACATATAAAAACATATCACAAAACGATATTCAGTGGCATTTTGACTAGTATGAAAAATTTTGCTGCCAGAATTAGAATCAAGAAACAGCAAGTATTCTTTTTTGAAGAGCTGCAATCAGATAACCATGAATTTTATCACTAGTTTAGTAAAGAATGAACTTACACCCATCTCTAGATTTTTCTATCTGTTCTCGGAGAAATTTGTCCTTGTGAAGATTCACATCTCCAAACCAGAAGTCCACTTGCTTTGCTATATCTGAAAGCACCTGTTTAACTCTGGACCTTTTCTTTTTTTCTCGTTCCTTTCTTTGTTCAGTTGTTTCTTTTTCCATTGTTTTGCTTCTTACAGCTTCAATCTCCATTCTTGACATCTGGTCAGCTATATGAACATAACATGATCATTATTTTTAGGATTTAAAGATTCCAGTGGTCTCCTGACCATTCATAACAGAAAAACTTATAAGAACTTCAGTCATTTCCTGTGTTTTTCTAATCAGAACCCTAATCTAGTTTTCTTTATAAGTGCGAAATACACCGGTTATTTCTACAGTACTCAGAAGAGAGCCACAACAATATTATTTTGCTTCCTCTCTTATAGTAAAGTTTTGATATAAAACAGTAAAAGGAAATCAGATATTAAAACATCCATCTGCAAAATGAATAATTCAACATAAATCCTTATCGTTTCAAAGTCTACATTTCTTTCTTATCATGGGAACTGAATATGCATCATTATTTTTTTAAGCAGAAGAGAAAATGCTTCCAATTCTGCATAACCATGTTGATTTTGAAAACAATATGGTATTATCACACACAATTTGTAAAGAAAACTGCTCTACAGTATTTGTAAATGAGATACAAAAGTATTAATAACTTCTCAAAGAGAACCATGCAACAAAAGTACTACAAAAATGCAAAGAAAGTGAAACCTGTCCTGCAAATCAGGTCTCTTCCTGCTGTGAGCTGATCATTCAAGCTGATTAAGGTTAATGTGCTTCCAATTATAGTTTGTAAGGATAACAACACAGAACTGTGAGGCAACAGAGATGTGACACTACCACTAAACTATTTGTCTTCCAAAATGTCAACAGTACTATTTCATCATATAATCAACTTACAGAAATCCCTAAGAAATATAAGTACAGTACTGCCTGTGATGGAGTTGAAGCAGTATGGGATATGTAGTCGGAGAAATGTAAGATGGGAGTCAGACAGGTTCTGTGTGAAGATGATATGAGAGACATTGGAATGTGTTTTTCTAAGTGCTATGAGAGTGTTTGTGGGAAGTGCTATGAGAAATCAATACAGTATACTCTCCCTATAAGGCATCACCACCAACACCCGCTCAACAAGGAGAAATAGAGGTGAGGTGGCTTTCCTAAGACAGTAAGCGGGGAAAAAAGGCTGAGGAAGAGAGGAAGGAAAGGGACTCTGTTGCCAGGTATGACATGAAACATTTGCATTTTTATTCTGAGGATGGGAGAGAAAAAGAACCTGGTGGTTTATGTGGTTTGAAGGAGAAAGAATGTTAAGTGCAGAGAAAGAAGGAGGTGGGGCTAGCCCAGCTTAGTAGTGTTTATTATTTTAATGGAGATTAGTTATGCTATTTAACTGTAATGGTATTTGAATATGTTCTTTATGTTAAAGCTTGAGCAATATGAATTAATTCATTGAAACTCTATTTTTCTAATAAAAATTAATTATAAAAAATCTTTACAAAGGACTGGTCTCTTGAATAGCAGGGTCTGGCTAAATCCAGGAGGTGGAGAGGGCCACAAACGAGCTATCTTTAAGAGTCCTACCTAACTGAGCTGTTGTGGGTTCTAAGGAATCACAAAGCCCATGTGACTGTACTTGCAAAGTACTGGGTAAAAGTAAAGTACTCTTTTAAAGTCAGACTTGTTCAAGGGGCTTACGCTACACACTGCTGAGGTCTTGGGACTTGCCTCAGCGCAAAGGCAGTAGGTAAGTGGCCTGTCGAACTCTCTGACCAAGTGCTAAGTGTTCCTTAGGGAGACTGGGCACTACACTGCCCATTATACACAGGGCTAATTTGCATTTACCCAAAGCGGCACCTATTCCTTGAATGAAGCAACATCAACAAGGGAAAAAGAATCACATTCAACTGTGATGGAGGCTTGCCATGCTTCTGCATTCTCTTGTCTTGCCTACGCAAATAGAAATTCTTTCAGTTTCAAAAAGAAGGTGGAAGGAGGAAATGAGGGGGGTTCAGGGTGTTTGGTGGCCCTTTGTTTATATAGTCAGGTGATATATTCCAAACCACTAGCTGAGGAGAGGTTTGAAGCCACACCTTCCCCACCAACCACCACCTCTTGCAGACTACAGCCATTTTCATCTGAGAAGTCATACTTGGCCCCAAAACAGGCCATGAAACTTTGGGACTTTAATAAAAGCATATAATGTTGGAACCACCCACAAAAACTTGCTGCACAACATGAAGATGCATTATCATCAAAAGCTCAGTTTATTTCATTTCATTTTGTTTTAAGTGGTCCAATAAACGTATCATATGTTCCTGCATTTGTATAATTCTCCTAAAGTTTCATTACTCCTGAAACAGCATGGGACTGATTATCAGGAAGATGGGCCATAAAACATCTTCCTGATATACATTTTATGAAAACGTTAGAAAAAGGGTTAGAAACATACAGAAGATTAGTCTTGTCATGGTTATTAGCAAAACAGAACAGATCACAAACAGAGATTACACACTTTCAGTTTCAGAGGCAGCCTATGACTATCAGTAGTGGAGATAAGGGAAACAGTTGTTTAATCAAACTCAGCTTTGTGGCTGGGTATTATGGAAAATACCCAAAGAATGCTCCAATTACCATACAATTGCACTCATTTCCCATGCTAGCAAGGTTATGCTCAAAATCCTCCAAGGTAGGCTTTAGCAGTATGTGGACTGAGAACTCCCAGAAGTACAAGCTGGATTTCGAAGGGGCAGAGGAACTAGAAACCAAATTACTAACATGCAATGGATTATGGAGAAAGCCAGAGAGTAATCTATTTCTGCTTCATTGACTATGCAAAAGCCTTTGACTGTGTGGACCACAGCAAACTATGGCAATTTCTTAAAGAAATGGGAGTACCTGACTACCTTATCTATTTCCTGAGAAACCTATATGGGACAGGAAGCAACAGAACTGGATATGGAACAACTGATTGGTTCAAAATTGGGAAAGGAGTACGACAAGGCTGTATATCGTCCCCCGGCTTATTTAACTTATATGCAGAATACATCATGTGAAAGGCTGGACTGAAGGAATCCCAAACCAGAATTAAGATTGCCGGAAGAAATATCAACAACCTCCGATATGCAGATGATACCACTCTGATGGCAGAAAGTGAGGAGGAATTAAAGAACCTTATAATGAGAGTGAAAGAGGAGAGTGCAAAAAACGGTTTGAAACTCAACATTAAAAAAAAACTAAGATCATGGCCACTGGTCCCATCACCTCCTGGGAAATAGAAGGGGAAGATATGGAGGCAGTGACAGATTTTACTTTCTTGGGCTCCATGATCACT